CCCCAAAACCCCAAAACCCCAAAACCCCAAAACCCCAAGTGTATTTTATCGACAGAGACTATAAATAATTACAATGAATATGAAAAGAAAGATGGAGTCAATGTAAGCATTCGATTTTTCACATTCTAATCTATGGCTCAGCTGTGCGAGGACTTTTGGATCAGCATGAAGCAGCCTAAGCTCTTAAAAATTAATATTTGTGCTATATTATGTGCATTTTTGGCTTTCTTTGAATTTTGAACTGCATATTTGAATCATTAAGACTATTTTTCTCTTAGAAAATTAACATAACATTTATTTTGACCACTATTGTAGCAAAACTATCGGACTGTCAAGTAAAGAATCGACAGCACCCGAGAGAATGCCTGAGTTTGGGTTCAGGAGACGTAACAACAAAAGGTATTTTGAGAGAATTTCCTTATGAATTTTTCCTATTTTGGTTGAACTTAATATATAGGTTTTCGTCTAAGCCAAACCCCTCCCTTATCAAAAATTTCAAACGGATGAAGGTAAATTGTGATTCATGAACTTTAGTTCAACCAGATGCGGTATGACACCATTGATTCGATCCTTAATGGAGACAAGACTTCTGCTAGGATTAGTTTCAAGTCAAGGAACCCTTTGATGGTCCTTAACAAAGGCCCGTAATGCTCATTCTCTCATATTTAGGTCTAAAAAGGGGATGTTTGACGATATGAAGAAAATCAATCTCCAGTAAGTTTTTGATAAATTATTATCCAGAACCACCAGAAAACTTAAAAAGAAGATAGATCTTTTCATTGAGCCGTACAACAAGGTAAACAACACCCACTTCTTCATGAGGTTTGGTGATGATCCTTACCCCAGACTGCCTCAATGACTCTTGTGTAAGTCCCAAAGACATGATCTGTAGCTCCGAAGGAATAAAAACCTGGAGAAAAATATCTACATTCATCTTGGAAGAAAACAATTCAAGTTCGTTATCATTTCTCTAATTTTTAGGCTTCAATAACAAGATGAGTAAATTTAATAATGAAGAGTTTTATGAAATGAAGCGCAGGATCAAGAAGTCTCGAGATGTATTACAATCTGGCTTACTGTGTTTAGATTCTCAAGAGACAACGGAAACTTAATAGGAGAGGAACTATCAGAAATTGCAACAACTTCTTCAAGATGAAATACTCCGGAGGCACATTAAGTACGAATTTTGATAATTTCTTTAGAGAAAATTAATAGAATTAAGATGAAGGGAGGATCTCCTTCAGTGAAATCTTCCAACATGAGCTCTGTTGGTCATGAAGATAAAGATGAAGACTTCTTCAAATGTACTCAATCTGGCTTATCTCTAGGTGTTGAGTCTGAGAAACTTAATTCAAGCGTAATGACACAAAATAACAGTAACTATATCACCGAGGTTACTAGTGAGAGTCAGGAGTTCTCCTTCGAGACTTCTGAAGAAGAGCAAAAGAGCCCAAGGTAAGCAGCCCTGTTTGAACCTTTTTAGACAACGCCAGAAAGCTATCTCGTTTAAGAAAATCAGAAAGAAGAACTCTATTAAGGTATTCGAGTGTTTGCTAATTTTGATTCATTAACATTTTAGTTCGGGAACCAAAAGAAATATAAAGCCAGATCCGTTATTAAGAGGAAAAAGACCAAAGCTTTTAAAGAAAAGTCTAAGTATCTGAACTCTTTCTTCAAGCCCAAACTCCAAGATGGCCCTATAGGTATGAGTCCTGGGTGATAGTTTAGGTGCGAGTCCAATGCAGAGACCCTCCAGATTTACAGAGAGTAAGCTATGCTGATCAACCATGATAGATTCTAATAAAGGAAGTAGGAAATCCATATCCTCTCTCGGAGTAAGTAATTTTTGTAAACATCTCTAGCTTCATGCACAAGAGAGTAGTGTAGGTGACAACATGAAGGAAATGTAACATTTTGAATCTCATTAGTAGCTTTTTCAATTTCAAGACGCAAGAATTCAAAACTGAGAAGTCAGTAAAACTCAACTTCAATTTATTCCAGAACTCTGTTATAAAGGGTAAGCTTGGATTTTTACGTTCAGAGGAAAAGCCGGTTCCAAGGGGTCCCAAGAAGTTACTCAGAAAACATATCATGAATTATTTTTACAAGGGAAACAATATTTTAACAAAGAATATGAAAATTTTGAGTCCAAAGAATGATCCAGCCAAAAGGTAAGATATTTTAATGATCGATAGAGTTCAAAATTCTCGATTGTACACTGATAGACCAAGATTGTTTGATTCTATAAAACAATATTCAAACCATCCTCATCAAGTTTCCAATTCACAGAAGGATATCAAATATAACCCAATTCATGAATTTGAGGGAGAAGTTGCTCTTCCATCAGCAGAGAAGCCTTTGAACATCACTATTGATACTGCTAGGATTCCTATTAGGCCTCTTAAGGGTCGTTTGACTGGGAGAAAGAACATCACAAATGGCATTTTGGCTAAGTAAGCTATTACCTTATCATGCTTATGCTGATTTAACTCATCTTTATAGTCCAAGGCACAATAAGCATGAATCAAGGCTAAAATTTAACAAAAGACTTACTAAATATGTGAAGAGAAAGCTCAAAAGTTCCCAGAATAGGCGTCGATCCATAATATAGCTCACAATAATCTCAGTAGCTCGTTGATCAACAAATAGCTTGTTTTAGTAAATTTCAATAATTAGGTGAAATTGGGGTTTTGGGGTTTTGGGGTTTTGGGGTTTTGGGG